TTATTATTATTTACTATCCTTCTCTTGCTAAGGCTTGCCTATAAAGTACATACTGTTTGGTTTTTTAGATTCTCCCCTCCATAGTAAATGTGGAGTATTAAGATAAGAAAATGTGCATTGTCCTTTATAGCAGTTCTTCTTTGGTTAAACTGAAAATATTTTAAGAAATACAGTTTTTATCTCTTAGCAGATTTTAAATTGGTTATTAAATATGAATCTTATATTAGTTACACATTTATCAGTGAGGTTTGCAATGTTTGATGAGAGTAACATATTTATTAATGTAAAAAGTCCTTTTTAAATATAGTGGCTCAGATTTTCTTATTAAAGTCTGTAAAAATTTTCTAATTATTAAATTACATTTGTTTGTTTCTTATCCTGCAGAGATCTGTTTTCAGTGCAGTTTCATTCTACATCCTATATTCTAATCTGAGATGGGATGGTAGTGTTGGTGCAGTTGAAGTTACTTTAATTTCTGTATCTGATCTTTTCCTTCACTTATTACAGGAGCATTGGTGGTGTAGCTTGATTTTTTATTTAATTTTTAAAGAGGGAAAAAAAAAATCCCTGTCATGAGCATCTGCAATGACTGTGGAAAGTTAATTGCTGAAGCAAGTTAATGAAGTTGTAGGTGTTGACAAGTAATGTTTTGGGTAGACTGCCGAAGGGTATGTAGGAGCCTTTAAGTTATATCATGTAGCTTCTTGATATATTATTCATCACTTTGCATTTCTGTAATATTTCTTTATTATTGAAATTCTGAGCCTTGAATTTAATCCTTTTGGACTAACATGTGGTCCAGCCTCAAACTTATAGAATTTAACACTTAAAAAATTTCATTCCCACTAATATCAAATTTACCAAATTCCTTAAACTAAGACCTTAAGAAACTGTATGGTGTTAATTGTCTCTTTTAACTCTTCATATTCTTAAGTCACTTTGAAAAGGGGAGATGAAATCCTGTCTCTCAAACTATTTGCAGATGTGGGCAGTGTTTCTAGAAAGGATATTCGTTTTAGCTATAGAAGTGTCAATTTCTTCTATCTCTCTGCTTGTACGTCCATTATATTTTGTTGATGTCTCTTCTTGGTGGTTGGTCAGTAAATCTGCATATCTTTACCTATATATATTTTTTCCAAGCTTAGTGCATATTTTTTATGTACAAAAACGTAAAACCTCACTTAAAATGACAACTCAGCCACCAGGAACACAAAATAGATTTCATAAAGTTTGAGTGCTAAATACCATGTATCTTATTGATAACTAGGAGCGTTCTTTAGTTTCTCATCAGCGGCTTTTTATCCTTAGTGTGAACAGTTCTACCTTGTCGTAAGTCATTCCATCCCAAAGGAAATCAGAAACACTGAATCAGTAAACATTTAGTTATTTAGCCAGACAAGTATGAGTTACCTGACAGCCTGACAACGGGAGAGGAGAAAGGGAGGAAAACAAAGACAAGAAATTTAAAAAAAGAAAACAAAATCAGTCTCTAACCGTTTTGTATAGGGATTTATAGCGTCAAAGGGCTTTGTTATGTAGCAGAGGCCCAAGTTACTGATAATAGGTTAGTTTAAGAGCAGTGGATTCTAACGTGACACAGAGCAGTATAATCCATCTTAGATATAGGTCCATCAGAACTGCCTAAAATAAAATATTTTAATAGGTAATATGTATAGTTCTCAGGAAAATTTATTTATCATGAGATCCTTTATTCTGCCAACTACATAGGATAATTGAGGTATCAGTACAGAGATTTATACTATTTCTCATCTTGCCCCCCTCCAACTTCTGCCAGTGTAAAAGAATTTTTTGATACAATTTTATTAAAAACAAAATCAAACTGTTTTCAAGTCGGATGGTGTTTTAGTTTGAACTTTGAACTCTGTGATTGTCTTTCATATATTTGTAAGAAATTAATCAGGTTTTTCTCAGATCTCCTTTTAGATAAAATCCCAAAGTAGCATGCTGATTAAAAATCAAAATTTGTTTCTGTGGTGTTTTGTTAAATTCAACATATATTTCAAAGAAAATAATCCCTTATGAAGCTCAGTCTTAGCAAGTAGGGTAAATACTTGTATATATTTACTTTTAAGATTTTGAAAGATATGTTTGATATGTTTTGTAGTCTTTTTTACTGTAATTTATCTTTTCCCATAGTTAGTTATCAAATACCTAAAGTGAGTTTTTGAATAGTAAATTCATTTTAATCCATTTGTGTTAGAATTAGAAACCAGAGATAATATAATCAGTTGTAATGGAAAATAAACATAAATTATGGCACACTATATACTTTGTTTATGTCCCTTAAAATATTATATACATCCCTCTAATTAATTGTAATGGAAATTATGTAGTTGTAAATTTTGAATAATTTAATACCATGTGCATTTGAAATGTTCAAATTTTTGCACATTTGAGTTTTTAGGAAGAGTTGAAATACTAGGGATAAGCACTAAACTTATCATTCTGTGCTGTTTCTCTTTAACTACAGACCCTGCTACATGGAAAAACTCAAGACACCTTTCTAAAGGTTTCCTTTATCCATTTGTTTTTGGCCCTTCTTTTTCTATTATGCCTGCATGTGTGCTTTTGTACTCCTACAGGCTGTGTGCATTTTATTTTTCTTCCATTTTTTATTTGCCTGTCCACATCGACTGATTGCAGGTGTTAGTGGTTCTTGTTACCTTTTGGCACTGCATCAGAATTCAGGCTTTTTTTGGTGGTGAATGTAATTTATTTTATTTTAATTTTTAAAAACATGCTTGTGAAGCCAGGCCTCTCCTCTATGATAAGGTAAATTAAAAACACCCCTTTGGTATCTAGTACCTGCCTCTGTGAGTTCTATTCATCTAGATTACTCCAGGCCTCCAATGAGACTTCTTGGAAGAAGGTACTAAGCTTCAAGTAGGTGAGCATTTTACTTGCAAAAAGGATCCAGTTTATTTACCTTTATTCCACCAAAGAAATTGATCCACTTTTTCTTCAATAAATATTTATTTGGATATCTTAACAGTCATTTTTATTTTGATCTCAGCCAGCTGATCTGCATTATTCATAAACTCTATCACTTAGACATTTAAAACTCTGAATTTGGCAGGTAACGTACCTGTGCTTGGGAGAGGCAGAGTCAGTTTACCTTCCTAAAATCAAGCATTTCTAGCTACTTTGGAAAATTAGAATAAAACTTGCTCTCCAAGTTTTAGACCACTTGAAATGGTACCTACAGTGAATAATTTTCCTATTCTCAGCAAGTGCAGGAGGAATAGACCTATTACTGAAAACTGCTGTAGAAGAGCAACTCCATACAGTGCATATGCCTGGTTCCCCCCAAACCACGCCCCCTACCCCGTTTCATTTCTTTCTTACCTTCAGTTCCAAGGGAAAACATAATCTTGTTCCCCGGGGAAAAAATCACCTTGAAAGTGCATGTAAATTTACAGAATATATTCACATGACTGAAAGGAACGACAAATTGTGACTTTTTAGGTTACCGACAGGAAGCCAAATTAAAATTAAAAAACGCAAAATCGATTGAAAAATTATCTGTTTCATTCACACATTTCAAATTTTTGCCTTGAGTTACGTGTGTAAATCTTTTTGCATTACTCAGTATGATTCATAAGTTTTGTTCTTTTAGCCATTAGCTTGAGTGTTTTCGTCAGATAAACTGCTTTTATGTGTAAGATACTTAAAAATAAAGAATATATGTTTTACTATAATATAATTACATACAAAATATGAGGAGAAGTGAACAATTTGATATATGAAATTTAGATTTCAAATGGTGGGAGGACCTATGAGCAACTCTGAAATTGGTCATATTTTTGAAATACATGGTACAATTTTTAAAATGTGAAAGTATAATTTAGCAGATATTAAAATATGAATAAACTTATAGTCATGACAGAATAGGAACAAATAATATTGTGTTGCCTTTTTGAATTCCTAGCTAAAGATAAAAAGTAATTTCCATAGTTTTCCAATAAATGGAGGTTTTCTTTTTCCAGGGGTCGAAGCAGAAGAATGGGGTAAATTTCTACACACCAAAAATAAGGTAATCATACAAGAATGTCATGAAGAAGTAACATGTAGAAAACATTTGTTTTGGTACAATTTTTAGTTGATAATTTCATTTCTTATGATTGGCAGTGCAGCATGTTATCTTGAAAAAGCTGTTCCTTGTAAAATAAATCTTACCTAGCTAACGTTCCTAACCATTGTAATTTACTTGGAAACTACTTTAAGTTGAGCCCTATTCTAATTTGGAGATTCTTAATCATTGTGAGATCAGGCAGCTTTGAAAAACTCATAAACTATGACTTCTTGGCTCTGAAAAATATATGTGTATATTAGAATTTGTTTGCTAATTCTCTGAAGTGGATCCATAGACATCCTTGAAATTTATCAGACCCCACTTGAGAACTTTTAATCTTATTTTGAATATCATGTTTTTTGTCTGAATAATTTTTAGCTTTACACAGATTTTGATGAAATTCGACAAGAAATTGAAAATGAAACAGAAAGGATTTCAGGAAATAATAAGGTAGGTATCTTTTTAGAGCTGGAAAGTATAATCATCAGTAAATATTATCACTGAGGGTATTCTGGCCTTTGAAATTAATAGAATATTTTCACAGATATATAAAAACCTTAGAATCCCTTTTATTTCTTAGAGGTTTTATATACTATCAGATATTTCATGTAGATGTTTATTCTTGATCTTGTGTTTTTTATATATATATATCTTTATTATATACTTTTTCTATTTATACCTCTGCAGTGTTATCATTTCCTGATAGATTCTAACTCTAACTCAAGAAGCATTATATAACTTACAAGATAACTTGTATTTTGAAGAGTTCTTTTTCTTACCTGAGTTAGGCTAGATTAAGTTTTTCTTTTCAGTGAAAATGAAGCATAATCTTAGAAATCTGAATTGTTTTCTTACATTCTGAGAATTTAAATTAGGTGTCTAAGATACCATTCCATTAATCTTGACGAATGTTTGCATCCAGTAAATTCCTCTGTTTTCTCTTTCTTTCTTCTTACTATCTTTCTGTTCCCTTCTCTTTTGTTTTTACTTCCATTCTTGTACAGGCACATTTAATCCCACAAGTGGGACCTAGCTAACTACTAATGTTAAAAAAAACAATTACTGAGCACTTTTATCTGCCAGGTACTACGCTGGAGAGGTTATTTCCTGACAGAAGGGTGCTTTTGAAGCCATGTTAATTCTTTATGACCGTTCAGGATGTTTGTCTGTTTCAGTGATTGACTAAGCTTTGTTTATTGTTGACCTCTGGGCAGGTAACCTTTCAGTTACTGCTACCACTGTCATACTCGTTACCTGTGGATAACCTGTTACCTGTATCTCACTGTCAACTCAGGAACCTCATAAATTTGGATAGTAATACATTATTCTTTTGTTCAGCACTAGGTCTGCTACACATATTTAAGAAATGTTGCTTGCTTAGAATCAGGAGAAAAGAATGTGAAATATAGGGAAATAAATTGTGTATATTCATGGTATAGAGTTGGACAGAATTACAACCTGTGGCTGGCTGCCTTATTTACTATGTTTCATCCCTTTTGATTGTTGAAATATTTTAAGATCATGGCTTAATTAATACTTAAAAGCATCTAATGTCTATCTGCTTGAAATGAGGTTTACTTTAGCATTTTATATTTCATTGAAATTTTAATATGATTTTAATATGGTATTTTAACACTTATTTGTAGGGAGTTAGCCCTGAACCAATTCATCTTAAGATTTTTTCACCCAACGTCGTCAATCTGACACTTGTGGATTTGCCAGGAATGACCAAGGTAAAGAATAGTTGTTTCTCATTGTGGATATGGTCGTTTGTTTTCACTGGAACAAATGCGGTTTTTCCTTAACCTCTTATGGAATAATCGCCTCTTTTTTTTTTTTTGCAATTAACTTGAGTTATTAGCAGTATTTGAAACGGTTGAGCCTTCCCTTCTCCTTGACACACTTTCTCTACTTGATTTCCGTGATACCATACTCTGGAGGGTTATGTCCCATCTCACTGGCGACTCGTTCTCCGTCTCTTTTGCTGGTTTCTTATCTTCCCAAGGTCTAAACAGTGAGTGCCCCAAAGCTCTGTTTTTGGACCTCTTGTCAAGGGAGTATATTTAACCCTTTGATGATTTCATCTAACCATATGACTTTAAATATGAGTGTCTCTCTGCTGACAGCACTCAGATATCTGCAGACTTGGATGTTCATCCTGTGTATCTGTCTACTTGACACGTACCCCTTAAATGTCTAATAGGCATTTCAGACTTGATGTGTCTAATACCAGATCCTGATCTGTCCCTCAACCTGACTTGATCCTTCTGTGGTCTCCCTCATCTCAATAAATGGCAGCTCTGTTCTACCAGTTGCTTAGCCAAAAAGTTTGTAGTCATCCCTGACGCTTCTTACCCTCCACCCCACTTTCTCTGTTAGCAAATCCTCCTGTGGCTCTCCTTAGCATTATGACACAGGCGTACCTGGGAGATACTGCAGGTCCCGCTGCAGACCACTGCAATACAGGGAATATTGCAGAAAAGCAAGTCACACAAGTTTTTTGGTTTCCCAGTGTATATATGTTTACACTATACTGTTGACCCTTGAACAACATTTGAACTGCATGGGTCCATTTATATGTGGATTTTTTTCAATAAATATATTGGAAAAAGTTTTGGACATTGGCAACAATTTGAAAAAACTTGCAGACAACCTTGTAGCCTAGAAATGTTGAAAAAATTAAGAAAAAAGTATGTCACAAATGCATGAAATATATGTAGACACTAGTCTATTCTATCATTTGCTACCATAAGGTACACACAAATCTGTTACAAAATTAAAATTTATCAAAACTTTTGCACGCACAGACTGCACAGCACCATTTGTAGCATTTGTAGTTAAGAGAAATGTAAACAGACATAAAAATGTAATATTAAGTCGTACTGCATAAAATTAACTCTAGTACATACTGTACTACTGTGATGATTTCATGGCTACCTTCTGTGCTGTTGTGATGAGGTCAGGTGTTGGGAGCGTCCACGTAAGACACTTTGTGATGCTCATCATCCCCGTGTGAGCAGTTCTTCTCCTGTAAATTGCATTTCACGGTAAAAAGTGATCTCTTGAGATTCTTACGTATTTTTCATTGTGTTCAGTGTGATACTGTGAATCTTGAATAACACCATGAGACCCACATGAAGTGCCACTAGTTATGCTGCAAGTGCTCCCAGGAAGCAGAGAAAAGTCATGATGTTATAAGAAAAGTTGAATTGCCTGATATGTACCATAGATTGGGGTCTGCAGATGCGGTCGCCCACCATTTCAAGAGAAATGAATGCAGCTTAAGGACCACTGTGAAAAAAGAAAAGGAAATTCATGAAGCCATCACTGCAGCTGTGCCTGAAGGCACAAAAACCTTGCACTTTATGTGAAATACCTTTTTATCCTGTATTGAAAATTCAGCTTTTCTGTGGGTGCAGGATTGCTGTAGGAACGGCATACCTATATACTCTGATGTGATTTGAGAAAAAGGGAAGTCACTATATGACAGCCTGAAGCAAAAGGAAGGTGAAGGACCTAAAGCTGGACAATTTAATGCCAGCAAAGGATAGTTTGATAATTTTAGAAAGAGGTTTGGCTTTTAAAAAATGTCAGGGTTACAGGAGAAGCAGCTTCTGCTGACCACGAGGCAGCAGGCTTAGTTCTCAGCTGCTGGTAAGAAAATCACTGAGGAGAAAGGATATCTGCCTGAACACGTTTCTGATGAAGATGAAAGTGCCCGATTCTGGGGGAAAAAAATGCCACAAAGGACATTTATTAGTAAGGCAGAGAAGCAAGCACCAGGATTTAAGAAAGGAAGGGATAGGCCAGCTCTTCTGTTTTGTGCAAATGCAGTCAGATTTATGATCGGGACAACCCTTGTCTGTAAAGCTGCTAACTTCTGGGCCTTGAAGGGGAAAGATAAACACCAGCCACCAGTCTTCTGGTTGCACAACAAGAAGGACCGGACAAAGGGAAACGTTTTCTGGATTGGTTCCATTGATTGTTTGTCCGTGAAGTCAGGAAGTACCTTCCCAGTAAGGGACTGCCTTACCAAGTTCTTTACATGTCAGACAGTGCCTGTGGCCACCCAGAGCCCCACGAGTCAAACACCATAGGTGCTGAAGTGGTCTCGTTGCTCCCAAACACAGTGTCTCCAATTTACCCCCTACATCAGGGGGTCGTGTGGACCTTTAGGCGCATTACGCACGGTACTCTATGGGAAGGATCATCAACACTGTGGAAGAGAACCCCAGTGTGAGAACATCCTGAACATCTAGAAGGGTTACACCACTGAAGATTTCACTGTTGTCATGGAAAAAGCCATGAAAGCCGTAAGGCCTGAAATAATACATTCGTCCTGGAGAAAACTCTGTCCAGATGTTGTGTATGACTTTAGGATTTATGACAGAGCCAAACAAAGAAATCATGGAAGAGATTGTGGATATGGTTACAAAAAATAGAAGGTAAAGGGTTTCAAGGTACGGATCTTGTGGAAATTCAAGAGCTAAAGTAGACACTATACTGGAGGAATGTCACGGAAGATGACTTGATGGAGATGAGTGCGTCTGAAACAGTGTCAGGTGATGAGGATGAAGACGCAGAAGAAGCAGCGCCAGAAAACAAACTCATTAGACAGTTTGTCAGAAGAGTTCCAAGATGGTACTGCATGGAAACATTTTTAGAGTGAGAAAACAAAAGAGACAAATTACAGTGTGTTTCCATGAAGTTACATGGAGTGTACCTGCCTCTCCTGCCTGCCCTCCCACCTCCTCCACTCTTCTGCCTCCGCCACCCCTGAGACGGCAAGACCAACTCCTCCTCCTTCATGAAGACGAGGATGACCCACTTCCACTTAGTAGCAATTAATCATCATGCTGTACAGTTAATCAGCTTACCTTTGTGTATGTGTGTGTCTTCATGTGACAGTCTAGTGATGGTGTGGCAAGAACTGTCTGAGATGTTTTTGTGTCATCATTGCCATCCTCACCTAAGTGTTCACTGTGTAGGACGTCATGTAGGAGACTTCAACTGAAGTAGACAGCCTATCCTTACATAGGCATAAAGTGAGTGATATTTAATATAAAATCAATAATGTGTTAGTTTTCTTAGTGCTTAATAACTTTGCTTTCAAAGAATGATATTACCAAACAGTGTGCCTTCTCTAGTAATTGGAGAAATTGCCTATCAGCTGATCAGCACAGGTAAGTGGTTCCCAGGGCTGTGTTATGAATATGACTGCAGCGCTGTGTGCTGTAAAAGTTTTACAGCGTTCGCTCAGTGTGTAGGCTAGGCTCCCATGAAGCAGTCATGTTGCTGCTGCTTTGTTCCCAGTGCATGAATTGTTACATCTGTAAATAAGTATGAATTTCTTTTTCACATTATCTTTTCATCTTTGATGTCTGGTGTGTGTATAACATCTCCAGTGTTTTATATCATAAGACAATATTGCTGTAGGTACTGACAGATAATTTTTCTTGTGAACAGATGACATAAACTTATATACACTGTACACATTAACTGTATTTATCAATACGGTACAGTACCGTAAATGTATTTTCTCTTCCTTATGACTTTCTTATTAATTTTTTTAGCTTACTTTACTGTAGGAGTACAGTATATAATATATATAACGTATGAAATGTGTGTGAATTGACTGTCATTGATAAGGCTTCCAGTCAGCAGGAGGCTATTAGAAGTGAAGTTTTTGGGGAATCAGAAGCTACATGCAGATTTCTGACTGTGTGTGGGGGATCAGTGCCCCTAACCCCCATGTTGTCTAAGGCTCAGCTTTATGTAGTCTGTTGTGTCGCAGTACCATTATGTCTAAGAAAACAATGTACATACTTTCATTAAAAAGACTTTTTTGCTAAAAAATGATAGCCATCAGCTGGGCCTTGAGTGAGCCATGATCTGTTTGCTGATGGAGAGTTTGAAATGTTTTGAGAATTACTAAACTGTGACCCAGAGACATGGAGTGAGCAAATGCTGTTGGAAAAATTGATGCCAGTAGATTTGCTTGTCACAGGGTTACCATAAACCTTTGATTTGTTAAAAAATGCAGTATCTGCAAAGCACAATAAAGCAAAGTGCAGTGAAACAGGGTGTGCCTGTATATCTGGAACTCTATCATGTCTTACAAATTCATAGCTACCGTCTTGAGCTAGCCACTGTCATCTCAGCTGGATTGCCACCAGAGCCTCCTGAGAGGTCTTCCTCATAACTTGTTAACTAAGCAGCCAGAGTGATACTATTTTTTTCTTTGGCGGGGGAGGTAATTAGATTTACTTATTTACTCTTAGAGGAAGTCCTGGGGATTGAACCAAGGACCTCATGCATGCTAAGCATGCACTCTACCACTTAGCTATATCCTCTCCCCCTAGAATGATACTATTAAGGTGAAAATTAGATTGTGTCTTTCCTTGGTGCAGCATCTGTCCAGTGGCTTCCCATTTCACTGGAGTAAAAGCTCCATTTGTTGGATCTAATGTGTCCACTTGATCTGTCTCTGTGAGTCTTCTAGCCCCTGCTCTAGCCTCTGCCGTCTTGTCCACTTTGCTGCGTGTTCTTCCCCTAGAATCTGCATGGACCTCTCCCTTGTATCTTTCAGTTTCTGGTCATTCTCTCAGATGTCATTATCTGAGTGAGGTCTTTTCTGATTACTTGATTTAGAAGCCTAATCCAATTTAAAATAATAATTTGAAAGTATAACCTTCTCTAATTCCTTAGCCTCCTGTTGTTTATTTTTCCCATAGCCCTACTACCACCTCGATACTATATATGTGTTTATTATCTGCATCACTGAAGCTTGATGGAGGCAGGAATTTTGGTCTTTTCCTTATTCACTGGTGTGATATAATATGGCATATAGGACAGTGCCTGAAAATACTTGCTAATTGAGTGAATGAATGAATTCGTCTCTAGGCAGTTAACATCGACGAATCTCTAACATGGTCAACTTTTGCAGGAGTTGCATTTTGAGACTTTTACATATTACCAAACTCATACATACCACTGTAGTATATAATTTCCTCATTTTAATGATCTGTAAGCGGGGCAGTACCTATGTTCTGTGGATTAGATGGCGGGGGGATGGGGCTGAGTTGATTTTTATTAGTGGTTCCTTGATCGTCTCTATTTGGTTCAGGTGCCTGTAGGTGATCAACCTAAGGATATTGAGCTTCAAATCAGAGAGCTCATTCTTCGGTTCATCAGTAATCCAAATTCCATTATCCTCGCTGTCACTGCTGCTAACACAGATATGGCAACATCAGAGGCACTGAAAATTTCAAGAGAGGTGGATCCAGATGGTAAGGACAGTTGTTAATACTTAATTAAATGCTTGGTTAGCAATGGTAAATCCGCCCTCAAGAGAGGGGTTTATATTTTTAAAAAGAGTATCTCTAGTTCTTAATATACATTAAAAAAGAATAATGTTTTTCTATTTATCTTATAGTATCAAATAGAAATTCTGATGGAAAATAAAGTTTTAATGGATAAATTGCTGTACAGGTGAGGCAAAAATACTTCACATAATATCCAAATTCATAATGATTACCTAGTGATTCTAAAATAATAAGATGGCTTTGCAAAAAGATTTCTTTATTTTGTATAAGGAAGATGATTTAAGCTTTTGAATGGCTGATATCTAAGAATAGTTGCTGTCATAGTAGGCAGTCATTGTAGACTATTATACTATAGGAGATAATTGTGGTGTCTGCATTCTGTAGGTGCAGAGAACATTTAGACAGGCTCAAGGCAGAGGGGATTCTTGGAAATACAGTTCATACTGTGCGCCGGTATATGATGCTTGACTGATGCTATAGGGTGTGTCTCTAAGTATATGTAAGATGCCAGATTGCTGCTAGCACATGTTTGCTCTGCTCCATACAGGAGCCAGTTTTTTTTCACGTGAGTATCGGGAGGGTCTGTGGGCTCTATCATGTTTCTTTTTTCCTGCTTTGAATAAAAATAAGAATTTAAAAGAAAAATTTAGTAGGACATGTTCGTGCTAAGACAATTAAAATCCCTATTGAAATGACTAAAATTAAGTCATTTCTTAAAATTTTTTTATTATTTCAAGTTTTTAAGAAACGTATTACATGAGTAATTAATATTCATTTTAGTTAAACTAAAAGATAAACTATATCAAAGGTTTATTTAAATTTTATTATTTAAAGTAAGCTGTTAAGCATTTTGTATGCATTAGTTCTATTTTAAACTGACCCTTGAGCCATAAATGTAATGATACTTTTCATCTAGGAATCTTAATTTAGTAATATAGTGTAAGGAAACAATCCAATCCAGTATTATTAATTAAAAAATTAGATTCAACTTAATATATGGCCCACAGTAGGAATGATTAAGTTAAGATAATAATAGAATATGGAATCATTAAAAAGGATGATTTTGTAGATTTGGAACAAAATAGGAAAATGCTTATAAAATTGAAAAAAATGCCGTATGTAAAATTGGCCATTATGCAGATCAGCTGGAACTCTCATTCGTTGCTGGCAGGAATGCCACAGCCACTTTGGGAAGCAGTCTGTCAATTTTTAAAATGTTAACTTAGCAGTCCCACTTCTAGGTATTTATCCCTTTAAATGAAAACCTACGTTCATGTGACAGCCTGTACGCAAATATCTACAGTAGCTTTATTCGTAATCTCCTAAAACTGAAAACAACATAGATGTTTCTCAAATGGGAAATAAATAACTAAACTACAGTGTAGCCATACCATGGAACATTACTCAGCAACAAAAAGGGATGAACTGTTGATTCAGGCAACAGCATGGGTTATGACAAGTGAAAGAAGCCAGACTCAGGCTGCGTATATGATTCCATTTGTGTAGTGTTCTGGAAAAGGCAAAGCAAGGAGTGACAAATGGGTGTCACTGGGTGGGGCAGGGATGTTTTCAGAGGGAAGCCGAACCGTTCTGTCTTGAGGCAGTTGTGCTGTAACTTTGCGTTTATCAAAACTCAGAACTGTGTACCAGGCACGAGTGAATTTTAAACAAATTTTTAAAATGCTAATAGAAAAGTTAGCTCTAAGAGCTAATAAAAAAAATTACATGTGAAAAATTTTAAAAATTAAACACGATTAAAATTAGTTTTTATACAGACAGGTTAGAAAAGCATTACCAAGATGATTGCAGGCATAATGTTAGGTGGATTATAGATGAGGCTTTTCCTTTATTAATCCTTAATAGCTTAATTGAATGGGTCATTTCTTTTCTTTTTTGCATTTACCAGGTCGCAGAACCCTAGCTGTCATCACTAAACTTGATCTCATGGATGCGGGTACCGATGCCATGGATGTGTTAATGGGAAGGGTTATACCAGTCAAACTTGGAATAATTGGAGTAGTTAACAGGTTAGCAATCAAGAATGGGATAAGAATGGCAGCTTTCTCATTTCAAAGCAAATCTGAATTTTTAAAAGCAGTCTGAAATGTGATCCTGTCCCTAGTTTTCCCCCTTTTATTATAATCTTTATATTGCTAAAGAATTCATTGCTTTCCAAAGGGAGAAAAGAGATTCACTAAAGCCTCCTGTAGATATTTTTAACTAGAAAATGTTTCTAAAGTAAGCAGTGCCACAAAATGGAAGAAAATTTAATAGCTAGGCTTGAAAAATTCCTGTCTATTATGTTTTATATGAGGAGGGCACTGGATAAGAAATAAAGTATTATTTAATTTGCACCCACTCAAGGAAGAGTTTTTATGGTGGTAGATTTTTAATAGATCGGTTTAACCTCTAGCATTAGTGATTCTATGTAATTTCCGGGGTGTGACTTGGAGAAAGTTTATTAAAGGTGTCCTAATTGTAAGCAGCTGGTATCAAAAACTGTGGAGAGGAAACTACTACTGAGTGTCTAACTATGTTTTAGACACACTACTGTGAGCAGTTTGCAAATGGTACCTCTTTGACCGTTAACAGCATCCCTGTGAGGTGTGTGCATTAGTCTGTTTGATAATCAGAAAACTTAGTAAGTTTATGAAAACCTATGTTTAGGTTTTGTAAATTAAATTCACGGAAGTCACATGGCTGGTGAAAGCAGAGCCAGACTCAGACGAAGATCCTTTTAGTCTAAAGCCTTTATAAAAATAGGAAGCACCAAAGTTACCGTGAGATCTGGGTTCCAGTCCTAGTTCACCCACAAACTAGATACAAAGTGGGTTTAAATGACACATAGCATCTTTCGACCCCAGACCTTTTAAAATGAAAATGTGGCCAACTGATATCTTTCCAGTTACCTGCTGCCATTCACATGTCCTTCTCCCTCGTCCCTACCCTGTTGCTGTTGTTTTTTTTTAATTCCCACTATCTCCCTTTTCAGGCAAGCAGGTGGTATAAAACTGCTTGCTGTATTTGTAGATGACTGCTCTTCACCTCTGTTGCCTGTCCATGGATAAAAGATACAGTTGATTAAGACACACATGTTTTTACACTTGTCTGTCCCTGGTTCTTAAGAGTACTGCTTTTGACTGTAGCTAATGGTGATAATGAAGCCTACACTATTCAGGCATTGCTTATTACATGAAAGTCACACAGTTTGAATCTTGGCTGAACTACTTAATATGTGACCTTGGGTAAGTTAGTTAATCTCCCTGAGCCTTAAGTTACTTTTGTGTAAAATGGAATAATACCTATTGCATAGAATTATTGTGAGACTTAAATATAACAGTCTGTGTCAGGCATTACAGACAATGCCTGCACCTTCATCATTGTCATCAGTTTTAGGCCATCA